TCTCTCTCTCTCTCTCTCTCTCTCTCTCTCTCTCTCTCTCTCTCTCTCCACACACACACACACACACACACAAACTCTTCAAAATGAAAATCAGATAATGAATATCTAAATACACTGATTGATGGTTGGGGGTATGTTATATGGGTACCTAAGGAATAACCAAGAGGAAGCACGTCAATAACGCAGCAGTGGTCTATTTCAGAGTATCAGTCACCTCTTACTGTTCATTCTACATGTGTGTTGTTCAAATATTCTATAGTGATCTGTATATCTTTGGTATCCAAAAAGAAAAAAAAAGCAATAAGAATATATTTTCCCAGAGATGTTGTGTAGATCTTCTCAGGATGTTGAAATGATGTATAACTCTTTGGGGTCTTATCCTTCTGCAGATGTCTTAGCTTGCCTCTAATGAACTCGGCATGTTTCCCATGGCTTTTCTACATGCATGTATTGATCGTTAATGCCATGATCAACCAGAGCTGCCAGGAACAGTTCATCTTACTGGGCTTCTCGGATAGACCGAGGCTGGAATCCATCCTCTTTGTGTTTGTCCTCATCTTCTACCTGGTGACGTTAGTGGGCAACATCATCATTATCTTAGTTTCCCATCTGGACCCCAGCCTTCACACCCCCATGTACTTCTTCCTCACCAACTTGTCCTTCCTCGACCTCTGCTTCACTACCAGTTCCATCCCTCAATTGCTCTTCAACTTAGGAGGCCAGGACAAGAGCATCAGTTACATTGGCTGTGCAATCCAACTGTTCATGTTTCTTGGCCTAGGAGGTACTGAATGTGTTCTGCTGGCCGTCATGGCTTACGACCGCTTCACTGCAATCTGCAAGCCCCTTCACTACTCAGTCATTATGCATTCTCAGCTCTGCTGGAAGTTGGTATCTGTAGCCTGGAGTGTGGGACTCCTCAACTCCTTGGTCATGTCTCCTGTGACTATGAAGCTGCCGCGATGCGGCAGATGCCAGGTGAGGCACTTCCTGTGTGAGATGCCAGCTCTGATAAAGATTGCCTGTGTGGACACTGTGGCTGTGGAAAGCACTGTTTTCATTTTATCAGTGATAATCGTGCTGGTGCCCTTGACGCTAATCCTCATTTCTTACAGCTATATTGCTCTAGCAGTGATGAAGATCAAGTCGGCCTCAGGAAGGAGGAAGGCTTTCAACACGTGTGGGTCCCACCTCACTGTAGTCTCCTTGTTTTACGGGAATATCATCTATATGTATATGCAGCCTGGACACAAGGCTTCTCGGGACCAAGGGAAATTTCTTACCCTCTTCTACAACTTGGTAACCCCCATGTTAAACCCCGTCATCTACACACTGAGAAACAAGGATGTAAAGGGCGCACTGAAGAGGCTTGTGACTAGGAAATAAGGTGAAAGGGCTTTTTCTAAAGTATGTTTTCACTTACTCAACACAGAGATGTAATTCATAGAATGAAAGCTTAAAATTCATCCAAATACTTTTGCTTGTCCAATAAAATCCTCAGTGGTAAGACTGGGAGTACGTGTTGTACAAACTCAAGTAGATGCTAATCATGCACTATTCAATAGTTAAGATTTGGTCCATAAAATGCCTTGTTTGTGTTCTTTTCCATTCTAAGTTAGCCATGTCTGCTTAAAACTTAGCAAAATGAGTCAATTCTTCATACATATGGATTATGACAGAAGTTGGACAGAGGGGGGAAAATCACATGATGATCTTTCTCATTAACCATTTGCGAAATGTTTCAGGGGTAGAACTGAGCCAGTGGGATCCTGAAACACTTTTGTCTTCTATTAACTATAATTAACTATAGTTAATTTCATTGCACGGGTAAGATAGAACATTTGTCTAGATGTGGTTCATGATATCCTTTGAAATGACAGCTATGTAAGTGCCCCGTCATCCTAGTCTTCAGTAGGATTATGCGTTAGAGACTAACTTGAGCTACAAGAGAAACCCTGATAGAGACCTATGTTTTTAGTTACACTTGTTTGTGCAACAAGTTATTTTCTTTTCATTAGAGGCATTGTTCTTCTTTAAAATTTTATTAAACTGATATCATAGGCTAGGTGCCACATTAAATAATACAAGTTTACATCCCAAGTAAAATAACAGCAGATGCCTCTCAAACTAATAGGAAAAGAAGGTTTCCTTGAATAAAACTCAATAAAGTTATTTTGATTTTCAGTTCAGAAGATAAATTCTGTCTTTAGACTGATTTCATTTCGTCTCGACAGTCATTCACACCTAAACACCAGTTTTTGTGGCTTTACATTTTCCTCTTATGGATAAAAACCTCCAAATAACAAGCTGAATTTTAAGTAGTCACTCCATGCATTGCATCCATAAACATTTTCTGGTATAAATGATATACATGATGGGAAATTTTGACTTTTATAAATCAAACTGGGGTAATTCCTGTGTTCTGCATCTCAGGTTCATCTCTCATCACCTGTACCTAGAGCTCTACTTTGTGTAACAGTCTCTGTAATTCCTCACCTCTGTGAGCACAGCAGGAACTTGGAGGAAGAGAGAAGCGCCCTGCTGTTTGCATTATATGATCGTGTTTATAATAGAAACTATCAGACATCTGTTGGGTGTCTGCCAGTGCTAGGGCTGACTCGTTTCCATTGAAGGATTCCAGATGAAGGAGGAGGCAGGAGCCAAAACTTCTCTTTAAAAAATGTAATTAAATCCTTTTATCTGAAAAAAAATGTGGATCAGTTCATGAATTTATCTGTCATCTTTGCACTTGGCTCTCAACATCCATTTTACTGGAAGAAAAAGATAAATCAGAAAGATATGTTGCTCTTTGTAAGTATGAGTGTGTGTGTGTGTGTTTGTATATGTGTATATTATGTGTATTTGCATATGTATTTGTGCATCTGTGTATGTATTATGTATGTGTGTTGTGTGTGTGCATATTTGTGTTTGTATCTGTGTTTCCATGTGCATCTCTCTCTCTCTCTCTCTCTCTCTCTCTCTCTCTCTCTCTCTCTCTC